CACCGAGCTGCTCTTCCCGTTGCTGAAGTCAGGCAATTGGCTTCATCACAAAAGCACCTTGTGAGCATTAAACTAACCATGTGCTCCCCTTCATCAAATCACTTACTCATTTAAACCAAGAAATTCGCAACTCGGATCCATTTGACAGTGAATGCGGAAGATGGAACCGCCTTTAACACGGGTGCATTGGTTCCGAAATTAAAGCAGCAGTTGGACTCTCTCTTTGACGATAACGCACTTGGATTCTCATTTGAATTCGACGATGGGAAAGGTACAGCTTAAATCGAATGAGATGTGAAGGCTGAGTTTTGGTTCCAGGGCCAACAAGAAACGGTGTTTATTCACTCACGGTTTCGTGTGGAGCAAAGGCTTTGAAGGGCGAAGGAAGCGTCGTTCTTTTTGCTGATCGAAGCGTGGCTTTGAGGACAAATGTTGCATGTAGTGATGTGGAGAGTATTGAACGTCAGATTGTTACTGTCATTGGTGGTCTGTTCTTGCCTGAGAAGGCTGATTTCAGAGCTGTTCAGTCGGGGACAATTGGAAATGTATGTACTTTATTGAGGGTATCTGCAACACACTGACACGTTAGGTTAGGATGCAAACAGTATGCGAAAAGTCAAGTTCTCGACTGATTATCACGTAATGTTCAACTTGCTCAATGCAGACCCTACATCGTTGCTTGTAGACTGGGATATTCAGGAAGCTATTCGCGGTAAAGAGTTTGTAAAGTTGACTTTTGTGGCTGATGCATCCAAACTAGAATACATCAAACCATTCACTGATCATGTCTCCAAACTGTACAATTTGAACATCAACTCTCAAACTCAATATTACACAACTCTTGCCATCAACCCGTCCGTCCTCGCCATTTCAGGAAAGCAAACAAACATTCTGTACCCATACCACCTGCCTCACTTCCTCAACAACGCCGAATGGAGTTTCGGAGGCTCCAGCGTCTCAACATCTCCTCCAATCAACTTTGTCCTCTACGTCCCAACAGAGTCTCAAACCCCATTAAGAATCGCAGACGAGAATGGCGAGTTCACAAACACAAACGCCTTCAGTATCCCACAATGGGGTGGAGTCGTGATCCACAACCCCGACCACAAAGACGCACGCATTGCAAAACGCAGTAACGGCGCAAACACGCTCCAACTCTCAGTGCAAGACTTGGAACCTAGCATGTCCACCTTCCTCGCCCAACTCCGAGGCCTCCTCGGTGTCAAAGAAGTCACTCTTGCGAAAGCCGAATCCCTCCTCCCTGGTTTCACGTTCCGATACGAAGGGTCCCCCCGCGATGGAATCACGAAATGGGAGTTGGATAGACTCACGCGTCTTACTACCCTCCAGAACACGGTTTCAGCCGTGTCGACGCTGAATTCGCTTGTGAATATGATTGAGTCGTTGGAGAATATGGTTGTGTTGGATCACATTCGTGATGAGGTTGCGGTTTCTTTGGGGGCTGTTGAGAGAGTGTATGAGACTTTGGATGCGGATGAGGCTTTGGCGGCGTCCAAGGTTGCTATTGGGGCTGCGGAACGGGCGTTCTTTGACCCCACGATGGTTAGTTTGTTGTATTTCCCAGATGAGCACAAGTTGGCGGTTTATTTGCCCTTGTTTTTGCCGGTTGGAGGTGAGTTTTCTATTTCAATTCCTCTAATATGAAAAAATGACTGAAAGTTCTTTCAGTACCATTGTTGCAGACGATTGCGGCGGAGGTAAAGAAAAAGATTGCTCAAATGAAGGGAAGGGGAAAAAAAGAAAAGACAGAATAAACTTGTGTTGTATTTTGGGGTCCTTTTTGGTTGTGTTCCGTCTCATCAAAGTGTTTTCAACGTTTCGAAGATTATTTCATGTCACTATTATCTTCCTCTACGCCACATAGAACTCGCAAGAATATGAATGCCTTTCTTTTCGTGATACGTCAAAGCTGGTTAACGGGCAGAACTATGATAATCCATTTCAAATTGAATATAGTTGGACTATGGAATCAGTGGGCTGGTAAGGCATTCAGTTAGCCTACTGTTGAGAAATTCCATCGATTTGATTACACTTTATTTCATTTGACAGCTAATGATGGTTTGGAGTGGTTTGGTAGGATATGCACTGGCACCCCGACAAAATTCCTCCACGCGTTCTAGAAAGTATGATCATTCGCAAGTACGCGGCACATATATGGCGTTAAATAATGTGCAGGATTACAGGAAGCCATAACGTTGTTTTCGTCTTTTATGTTTGAACTTAGTGTCCTCTTTGCCTCTATAACGCTCAGCTGCCTTCTTAGCTCAGTTGGTTTAGATCGCCTGCCTAGTATCGTAAGAACAGCTAGCAGGAGGCCACCAGTTCAAATCTGATAGAAGGCATCCTTTTGGTAATGTTCTGTTTGTATGAGTTGTTGCCCAAATAAAGACGGAATATGATGGAAAAGAGGGCGTTGCGGATCCAGATTTCGCAATCCATCAGTATCATGCTAAATATATATAACTTGCAGAAGAGATTGCAGAGGATAGCGGAGTCCAAGCAATCTGCAACTTTTTCGGAAATCATCACCAACACTCACACCTCCACTTCTGTTCCCAACCTAACCACGAACTCAGGAAACGGTAATGTTTGAATCAAAAAGAGCTGAAGCACTCTCGACAGCAGCAACGAAGCAAATTCTTCCAGCAGATCGCCCGCCCCAACCTCATCCAACAAACTACTCCTCTGTTACCGCAGCCAAAACGACAACGGCAGGACTTGAACCTGCGCACTCAGAGAGTAACAGATTTCTAGTCTGTCGCCTTAACCGCTCGGC